CTCAAAATTACTTTCGAGGTTATGAAATTTCGACCAAACGTTATTTCTGGCAAATGTAATTTCGGACTACTGGTAGGTAACCGGGACTTAGTCGTGCGCTTGGAAATAAGCGATATGCCTATCCATGACAGATGCTGTGGCACTCAGAGATCTGAGGGTAACTACCACTTCGCCCGTCACCCTAGAGACATAAGTTAACAAGTCCCATATGCCTGTAATTTTACCAGTACGCTCACTTAAAACAAGTCGCAAAGATTTAAGGGGTACTGCCACTGTCACCCTAACACGCAAAGTTTAGTAACAGTAGAGTTCCTTGTGATAGAGTTCGTCCAGGGAAGTACTGCTACCTTACCTATTTTTGTCGCCAAGCAGTAAAGTCAGCATTACTGTCTTCCAGTTTTGAAGGGTAAGGGTGATGGTGAAATTACAGGCACATGGGACTTGTCAACTTATGTCTCAGATTTGACGGGCGCAGCGGCAGTGCCTCTCAGATCTTTGCGATTTAAAGCTCTGAGGGGCACTGCAACTGTTATGGACAGGCGTGTAGCTTACCATCAGGCGCACGATTTGTTCGTCCCGTCACCCGATATTATTGAAAAAATCGAATAAAGTAAATAATTCAAAGTTTATTTGAATGAGTTTACAAAGTGCTAGAGATTAAGTGTTACCAACGATACTGTGACACAATAGAGAAAAGTTTAAAAGGTAGTTGGTCCCACCAGGACACAACTCCTAGACAAATCGATAACACCGATGTTTATCTTACATAATCAATATTACTCCGATTCAAGGAAAAATCTTAACACCGCGATGCAGAATTTAGTAAAAATGAGTCAATGCCATCTAGCGGCTTTTTAGGGAACTAAAGATGAGAAAAGGTGCTTAAGGAAGTCCTTTATATAAAATAGGTTTGTTATATTATCGTTTTTGTCACTGCATCGTCAATTGAAGGAATGTGTACTTATAGTGATCAAATGCACTCTGATAAATTTTGTGAGTTGTCTCGTGAGTGTCAAAATTATGGTACATTGTCTTTTGTAACGTCCAATGCATGTTGTAAACCCGGTTACGTCCACTAAATATGATTTGTGTACAGTCCATGCAAAAGTGAACACTATGCTCTTTTTACTAGAGTTAGTGGTTTCAAATTCTAAATATCTTTGTTTCACATGTGAGCAAATTGCACTTGAACTTGTCAAATTTATTCGTAGGGCAGATTCCCTTTGTAAATAGATATTTGGTAATTTCAATTTAGGGGTTTACGGTATCGACGACAAAGTAGTAACATTTTATTGAGATACTTTAAAAAATATATATTTTTAAAAGTTGCCATATTAAGTTACTCGTCAATTTTATTAAACCGAGTTAACTACATCGCAAATGCTATGTAGTACATACATATAACTGCGAAAGCTAGTATAGATGGTGTGCAGCCAGCATGCTGTTGGCCTCCAACTGCAATGCAATCGCGCTGACTGCACCCCTTAAAGCCCTTAATTTGGTTTATATTTTTAAAGTGATCTAACACTTTTGCACGAGACGTCTATGATTGTATTGTCTTTTTGTCTTAGTACGTTTTGTGATTTTGTCATGGTTTCGGTTGGGATTTGGTTTATATGTCTGTCCTTTTAATCCACTTTGTTTTCAGTAATCTTTACAACATTACATTTGAAATTGATGTGTTAAAAGCAACCAAAAGAATTCTGTTATTTTCCGGTAATGTCTTCGTATTGGAATTCTAATGGTTGTTGACTCTACCCTGCCTACGTCCGTTTAAGACCGATTTGAAGTCACGAGTGTTCGTTTTTGATCATTCAGATAATTTTGGCGCTGACTGTACACTCGATCTCACTTAGAAGTATACCTTAAGACGGGCTCGTAAGATTCTTTAAGGGCTTAACGGACAGTAGGTCTAATAATTACAATATTATAAATTATTCTTTTCAATTTCCAGTTCTGGATCGACCATCGTCGCAGATGAGCTATCTCGATCAGTTTTTGAAAGAAGCGCCCACGGAACGACACTACGACAATGTGACCACTATAAATAATGAACAAAAGGTATGTTTTAGTAGTTTTATTGTTACAAAAGGCAACTGAAATATTGTATGGTTAGGACAGTTCGCGCAATCACATGACAGCCTCAATACAAGCGGTGGTTACCACTTTTCAGTTGATAGTTTGACTGTTCGACGGTGTTAACACTGTAACTGGTGAAAACGAAAAGCTTGATTTAGCACGAACGTGAGAGGTTTTTTCATAGGAGCAGCGGACGGCTGGTGCGGTGTTGATTTTACGTCTGACGAGGCCTTTAACCCCCCCCCCCCCCCCGAACCCCACTGAACCCTCGAATATGGCTTTTTTAATCTTCCCGCTCACCTCCCTACACCTTATTCGCCGTCTTGGAACATGTTCCATTCTTCTTCCGCCTAGTTCTTTTCACACTTCATGCGATCATTAGCAGTAGGTAACTTAAGAAAGAAAATCTATGTTTTCGCCCATTGTTTTGTATTTACTTGTGCTAGAAATCCCTATAACGGGCGATATTAACTGTCAAGTAAAAAAGATAGCTAAGCAACTGTCAAGGCCAAGTTTTTGGTAGCTGCAGAGGTCCTTGAGAAAGTCCAGAGTCGTACTGCCACCTTGCCTATTTCTGCCGCCAAACAGTAATATCAGCATTACTGTGTTCCAGTTTTGAAGGGTAAGAGTGCTGGTGAAATTACAGGCACGTGGGACTTGTCACCTTATGTCTCAGCGTGACAGCGCTGTGGCACTGTCCCTCAGATCTTTGCGATTTAAAGCTCTGAGTGGCACTGTAACTGTTATGGACAGGCATGTAGCTTACCATCAGACGCATGACATGTTCGTCCCGTCACTTGATATCATTAAAAAAAAGTTAGTTGTCACTTCATTGTCGAAATTTCAAAACATACAAACGTGTTTAGTGATTTTTCTATTTATGCTTAGCGAGTGTTGTAAATAGCCTTATTAAGCTGCTTTTACATTAAAAGATTATTACTGGCTACGGGTTCCTTACCACGGCGACGTTACACTTCCTATGCTTCGACATAGACACATATGTCTTAAAGCTGTATTTATTTTATTGAATACCATGTTTTTACTATCATGATATTCATTATATTTTCTGAGAAAATACTTCACTAGTTATACACAACGAAAAATTTCCTCGCTTCGACTGGTACAGTCGATGCCCTCAATAAGTATCCACTATTTGTATGGCACTTAGAACAAATAGTGGATACATAAGTGATGGCACCGACTGTACTGGTAGCAATAGAGCTCCAAGTAAAATAGTTCGCTCAAGTACTGCCATCTTACCAATTTCTGCCGTCAAGCGGCAATGTGAGCATTACTGCGTTTAGTTTTGAAGGGTAAGGGTGCTGATGAAATTATAGGTACTGGGACTTTTCAACTTATGTCTCAGGATGACAGGCGCAGTGGCAATGTCCCTCAGATCTTTGCGATTTAAAGCACTGAGTGGCGCAGCAACTGCTATGGACAGGCGTGTCGCTTACCATCAGACGCACGATTTATTTCTTCCATCACTTAGCGTCACACAAAAAGAAACACATACCTGTTGTCTCACAGTGGCTACCAGACCAATCGGACTGAACGAATTTTTCTTTGTGTTTGTTTGATTTTTGTATTATTATTAATGCCAACTGCCGCTTGACATTCAAGCCATGACCGTTTATCGGCAAAACATTGGTAGAAGTATTAATATGCAGGTTTGTTTGTAAAATACTAATAACGTCGTAGGACTGTATTACTAACATCATAAACAACAGCTTTCAAAATGAAAATGAGTTTTTTTCCATGTCTTTTAATAATTTATCACTTTTTACTTTCATACAAAAATAAAAATATTATTAAATAGACCGCTCTAATGGTGATAACTTTGTGTAAAACGCGTGAGTCGTCGGAGAAGACGCTTGCACGTTTCAAGTTGCTATCTTACTACCAAATACAGATCTGGAAAGTTTCAAATTGTACAAAAAAATCTTAAAAGATTAGCTTTGGTATATTTGTCATGTTTTGTCATAACTTGCGGAAAAAAAATTGTTGTTTATGTTATGGTATTAGTAATCTAGTCCTGCATTGTTGTTAGTATTTTAAAAATAACTATATATTATAGAAAGACTTTATTTGTCGTGGTATAAAACTTGAAACTTGTGGTAATCGTTTAGTGAATAATCATTTAAGATCTTTATGGCTTTCACATTTTTTTGTTGCATTGTTATATTTATTTCCCGCGCAGATATCGCCGCAGTATGGGTACAGAAATGCTCAGCATTGTTGCAATGTGAAGGTACTTTAATTTTCTTATTGTTTTGGGTTTTCGTGATATAAGGTCCAACAGAACGCACTGTCATTTTTTACGGGCAAGCTCCAGGTCGTGTCTACACCAGATCCCTACAAATGTTTTTATATTTATATTATAATCTCTTGAGTTTTAATTTTTTACTAACATATTCTATTTTTCGTCGTTTAAAAGATAAAATTTACTAAGTGCAAATTGATCAAAAAATGTATCTCATTTCATTTAATGAGTTTCCATGGTGAAAAACACAATCTTAATTTTTTTCTATTGGTCAATTTGGTATTTAATTGTGTTTTACCTATTAACTGACAATTTAACTGTTATTACAGCTTATTTTTAAGAAATATTCGGACAGAAATAAAAATTTTAACCCGGTGGGGGACTAAATTTGGAATTTACTGATGTCCATTTAGTTCATATTGATGTTACTTGACCATTAAATAGCTTTTCTCTATGAGCGCCCTCTGTAATCGTGAAAAAAATATTACATTCTCATGTAAATATCGACTTTCCAGAAGAGAGAGAATTATTGCCTCGCCTATTATTTTTCGTGTTTTCGTTGTACCTTATACCTTTAAATGCTTTATTTTGCATGCGGCTTTTCATTTAGTGGAGAAATAATAACCAAATATAATGTAAATACTTTTTCCAACGACGCAAATAATACAGTTTCTTTTTTTTATTTTCATATTGTTTTCTCAATTCTACAATATTAAGTGACGACAGTGTTTGGTTTCATGTCACATTAAAAGTGCTTTTATCACATGAGAGGCATAAAAATAACATGTACTATTTAACAAATTATGTATAATTATGCTAAGAACCTATATTATGTTATTGTCTTTGGGCGCGTTCCCATTATGTCGTTTATTGGACGGCTGTCGCATTTAGCCTGTTCCCATATCACGAGATAGTCGTTTTTTTGTAAAAAAAATCGTTACACAACAGAAAAAATGGGTTACCTACGAGAGAAAAACCTTAGGAACCTCTGATCTATACCATCTTAAATAACCAAGACTTTGATCAAGATTCGATCGATTTTGAACCTAAGATCCTTAAGATCCGCCGTTTTATTTATCGTTGGACGACTGTCGCGTCGAGCCTGTTCCCATATCACTACTATCTGTCGTGACTGTGTGGTGAACGTTTATTTTATCGTTGAACGATTGTCGTGTCTAGCTCTTCCCACTAGACCATGATGACAATTTATCGGTTCACGGCAGCCGCCTTGTTGTTTGCACGACACTTACGATTATCTGTCGTCACATTTTTATCGTGTCGTTTTATTTATCGTCAAACGACTATCGTTTTAGCTCTTCCCCGTATCTCGAGAGTCCGTCAAAAAGTCGTGAACGACAGTTGATCGTGTTTTACTGTATGTGAACGACTCATTTAAATGTACAAGTCACGACACTTTAAACTGCACGACTATCTGTCGTCACGACGTAATGGGAACGCGCCCTTAGTGTACATTTGAAAGGTTATTACCGTCCATGTCTAATTGAATCTATCTATATGGACCCTCACAGATGACGAATGGAGTACATTGCCTTTGCCTGTATTCTGCGATGGCCCGCATTGGTAAAGCAACACTCTAAACAATAACAAAAATGACCATTTAAATACAAAAAAATCCAAAGTATTCAAGTACACAGATTTTAAACAAGTAATCGCATTGCAGTTAATGTACGGGTCCCAGCAGTCAGCAGCTTTAAGCGGTTCCGTGGAGTCTCAAGACGAGATGGAAGGGCGCGCCGCCTCTCCCGCATCAAGTAAAAGCTCGCCTAGTGAATTATCTACGGTGAGTTAAAATCATACAAATAACACAACACAAAAATACACATAAAGAAATTTAAAAAAGATATAGCTAAATTAAAACAAAAATAAATAGTATAACAAAAAAATGAAATGAAAAAATAAAATCTTAATAATAGGTAATGAAATGACCACAAAGCAAAAGCATTGCATAGTCAACACTATCGTGTACTAAGTAGATGTCATGTGTGTGGCTCAGCTACTGTCACCGCCGAGAAAAGGCAGTGACGCTGATTTTCAGTGGACCCTAAGGTGAGTCCTGCTTGTCTTATGAATCGCGCAGAATGTAAAATTATTTCATAATTATATGATATAGAGATATTCCGAATTTAGGCTAAAGTCCTGGTAGAATACCAACTTCATGGGCGACTGTGGCATTAAATTGAGGCAGCGCGTTGTCACTGCCAATTTTTCTTTTTGTAAGTGCAATAAAAATATTCTTTTCACTTCTCATGCTCTTAAAGTTTGTATTTATGCTGGGCGTAGGCTGCATAAAATAGGATTTTATGCTCTAGTGCATAAAATAAAATCGTCGTTTAAGACCGAGGCAATGACGCCTGCGCCAACAGCCACGCACACTAGAACTTTATAAAATAAAGTTTTACTTTTATTTTTTTTTAATCCGTGTTAAATATCTAATTGTTGTAATTTTACATTCTATTTTAATTGAATAATCGTTTATTTGTAATATTGCTATTTAATTTCCTCGCAATCGAAGTGAAAAGCAGAGTGTATAACTCGTTCATAAAGCCCATTTTACCCTCGACTTAAGTCCCACATCCACACTCGCCTGCGGGTCTCGAGTAAAGTGACGCGTTTTGTGCACTTGTTGTACAATCTACTATTATTGACTGCCTCTGTGGCCGAACGGTTGTATTTGTTGTGTATTTTGCCAAGGCTAGGTGCCTTGGCAAAATTAAACAGAAGGCTGGGTCCACATAATTTTATTGCAAGATTTTTATTGTAGAGGTAGAAACCAAGATAAGGTAAGGAAAGGAGAAGAAACGCTGTAACAAAAAAAAATGGCATAAAAACACAGGTACAATACTATAAAACAATCCCTAACTTAAATTACATACGGATATGCTTATGGATGAATATAAAATAGACTTTAACCCTACTAAAGGGCCTGAATTCGTATATACATTGCTGTTGGGTTTACATGATTGAAGGACACGTCTTTTCTCTTCGAGAATTTTGATGAGAGTGACGACGGAACGAAGCAAAGTAAGAATGACAAAGAAAAATAATTAGAGAAGGACACAAAATTTCAAAAGTAAGTGGCTAAGAATCAGAGAAAAAGATGATAAAAAGGTGGGATGGCGATGAAAGAGGTCGCATCTTGTAACCGCACACGGTTATCGTATTGGTCTGCCACGCAGAGGTCCCGGATTCGGTTCCCGGACAGGAGTGAGTTTGGATGTTTGAGACCAGGACCCCGATTCAGAACTTTTCGATATTTTAATCGAATCGTTCGATTAGATATCGTTCTCGAATAGAAGGGCGTTTTCCGAGCTATTCAGTTAAACATTCCATTCGGATTCGGATACGATATCGTTATCCAACAGCGTTTACGGAGTTAGCCGGTGAAATAGATTATAAGAAAAATTAAAATCCTTTTATATATACATTTTTCAGACTTTAAAGGCCTAAAATATAGGAATGCATTAGACTTACATTAAAATAAATTAATAAAATCGAACAAAATGCAGACTTTATTTATAATACTAAGAGATGTCCGTATTAATTCTTGCTTTGCAAATAATAGGACGTTCGATAACACTGTACTGAATAACGGTTGTAGCCTTTGCCGATCAAGTTCGAGTTCTCGTACGGGAGTGACCCCATTTCGGTTCGGTTTTGAATACGACAATTTGACGTTCAATTCGGGTGTTGTGAATAAAAATGAAAAGAAATCGTATGATGTCAAATCGAATCGGTTGACAACTGAGTTATCGTAAGGTCCTGAATCGACCCCCTGGTCTGGTTATCTGCCACATTAATATTGCAGCTTGATTTTTGCAATAATAGAATTCACATGCATAAGACGAAAAAGAGTTTTTTTTTAAGTTTTAATCAAAAAGCAGGTTCATTCACTAGTGTGTCGAATGGGCTGTCATTACATGCACGACGTCATTACAATATTGTATCTGTTTTCGTCATCAGGATCATTCCCTGGGCCCGGCGATACCAGGCAAGCAAAAAGTCCACCAGTTCCTAGTGAGGACTTTCAGCAGTCCCACCAAATGCAATCACTGCACTTCGCTTATGGTAAGTTTAAATACACCAAACAAATTTATGTAACTTCTTTAAGTACTAACGAATGTGGGCGGGCCGTGTTTCGTCAGGGGCTCAAAAATATACCGCTGCGTATATTTTGTATGATCTCGTTCACACATGTCCGTATCCGGGCCGACGCCAGGACGAGGCTTGAGTTCATATACACTAGCACGGCTCTGGTATTTGTGGAACCTTTAGTCTTCTCCCAAAAAAACCAATACAATAACAGTCATACAACCCACACACACCTTCCCACGAGATGCCAATGTTAAATTCTTCTCTTGCAATTAATACAAAACGCAACCGACTCTCGGAAAATTTCCGAAAGAGTACGTTCTGTCACTTGGTATTTTTGGTACGGTTTTAGATTTATTTTAAATTGTAACTTCCGTCTACCCAGATCGGCCTGACCCGCCAAGGGGTGGTGTGCGAGACGTGCGGGCTGGCGGTGCACACGCGCTGCTGCGCACGCGTGGCTCCTCGCTGTCCGTTGCCGCCCGAGCGCTCGCGGCGGCCGCTGGGCATCGACCCCGCCAGGGGGCAGGGCACGGCCTACGAGGGCTACGTCAAGGTGTGTATCTTTAAGTACCGTTGCTAGAAATTAAAAAAAGGAAATTCTTAAACATGCTGGCAAATTTTTGCAATACTTTCAAAAAAAAGAACCCGCTAAGTTTGTCACATAAGGAACGTGCAACTCTTTGCTGGCAAATTAAGTATGTAAATTAATTTCTATCCACTGCTCTTAACTCCTAAATACATCCACTAACAAAGATAGATCTTTGTTAATAGATAAATTAAACCTAAATAACTGTTTTTGCTGTTTATTATTTATCTATCAAGCTTTCATAGTTCATAGCTCATTGATTTTTAAAATGAATTTAAAAAATTTGTCAAAAATGTTACTTTATGGATTTCATTATTTTATTATTAAAAGTAATAAAAAAATAATCTGCAACGTGTACAAAGGGCGCACTGCAGGTTTCCGGAACTGGCCACTTACATTAATAATATTTAAAAAGTAATTACAACATTTGAAAATGGAATTTTTTGGCTGTAGAATACAGTTTGTTTCATCTGACTGTCATTTGTTTTTACATTATGGCGTCATTTTAGAAATTGATTGGCTACATCACCATCACCATGAATTTAACTCGTGCAAATTTTCGTAGTATGATTTTCTACCACTTTAAGTATAATTTAACAGCTCAGCGGAGCTTCGCTCGGCTTCAAACTGCTTTTGGCAATGAAGCACCATGCAAGATGACTATTTATAGCTGGTTTGCGGAATTCAAACGCGGTCGTGTGAATCTCAGTGACGGATCTCGTGATGGTCGCACGTCCACTGCTGTGAACAACAAAAACATCGATGCTGTGCGCCGTATGATCAAAATAGACAGGCATGCGACATATCATGAGAATCTTTAGGCATAGGCATGAGTCAAATACAATAATTTGGGTGTAAAAAAGCTGTGCTCTCGGTGGATCCCACACAATTTGACTGAGGCTAAAAAAATGGATCGCGTCACTTGGTGCAATGCCATGCTTACCAGATTCAACGAAGGGGCGTCAAATTTGGTGTGGGACATAGTAACAGGTGACGAAACATGGATTTATAGTTACGATCCCAAAACAAAGCAGCAATCGACCTTATGGGTCTTTCGAGATGAGCCGAAACCAACCACAGTGGCGCGCGTGCAAAGTGCCTCTAAACGGA